GACATATATAACCAAGAAGGTGAACTGGTCATGGAACTAGAATGAGATAGAGCAGCTGGATAGCTTTATTTCTGTACAAGTACACATGAGACTTAAAAAAAAAAGAATTGGGGGAGACATTGAAGATGTTTAGTTAATTCTCTATGCTTCCCTGGAGGATTCAAAGAAAGATAGGGACAAGAATCTCAAAGGAAGAAAAGCTGCTGAGGAGTTGCAATTGGCATAAATGGAAGATTGCAGTATTTCATGATTCACATTCATACAGTGATGCTGTGTGTGTATCTGTATCTTTGAAATATTACATATATATATACAATATACATTTGAGGCATATATGAGACATACAGATACATATATGTATGTATATATCTATATCTATATCTTTGAAAGCACCTGGTGTTAGACATGAGCTCTTACAATTGTGATCAGTTTAGGATCAGATAATTTTTATACTTCCCAAATGCAATCCAGACTTACTTCCTCCCCGTATTTAATTCTGGATCCAGCTGTCCATTTGCTATGCCTGTGTGGGAAATACATAAATTAATTCAATTCCCAGAATCACAGAATCATAGAGCTGGACAGGAACTAAGAGGCCATCTAGTACAGCTTCTAACCAGTGGTATACTGGTAAATGTTTAACACCAGAATCTCAGGGTGCAAGTGGGAGGAAATGTACACACAACACATCTTTAAGGTTTACCCACATTATTAACATTTTCTCCACTTTTAAAAATTCAGATAATCAACAAAACAATAAATTTAGCCCTAATATACAGCATTTGCTTTATTTTTGAGGTATAAATGCTCACTGAAAAATGTAACAATCCAAGAGCTGGTTCCAGCACAATCCTGCCTCTGTCGTAATAAGAATCCTCCCTACATCCAGTCAACAAGCTTTTATCAAGCATTTATTGTGCTAACCTCTGGGAATATAAATACAAGCAAAAACAAATAGCCCTCAAGGAGCTTACATCCTAATAAAGTAAGACATCACATAAAAGGAAGCTGAAAAACTTGGGGATCAGGAAAAGCAAAGGAGAAGGTACCTGTGAGAAAGCCTAGTGGAGATAAAAGTTCAAAGTGAGGCGTGGATCCCAGAGAGGAATGAAGAAGTGAACGTGACTGGCCAGGGGTACTTTCCTTAAAATGGAAGTTATGGATGGAACTGAAGAAGCCATAGGGGAGGAGTGATCTTCCCGGTGAGTTTTTCTGGGTCATGATAAGAGAAAGAAGCCTAGAGAGTCCTAAGTGGAACCCAGAGAAGAAGGAGTAACTATATCTGACGTACGGTCTTGCTCAAAGACATCCATTGAGGGAATACCAACCCTATCATTACCTTCAGTGAGGATAGCTCCATTTTTGGATAGCTCTCCTTGTGTTTATCCTAATTTTGCCTCTTTGGATCTTCTTTCATTGCTTCTAGTTCTGCCCTCTGATACGAAGAACAAGTCCAACCCCCTTTCCACATACTTAAAGCCAACTCTCATACTTGCCTGACTGTGCTCTTCTCCATGCTGAACATTCCTAGTTGAACAACATGTATTTTAATCCACTTTGATTTTCCAGTGTGGAGGGTCAAAATGATTACCACAGAATCTGATGGAGACAGCCCACAGCCCTAGGAATAGCAGTGTGGTAGAAATTGCTGGCCCTAATTCCAATCCAACCTCTGCAGTTCTCAATATGAGAATAAAACTTTGCAGAGATGCAACCTAGCAACTGCTTCTGCATGGGCTACAGGCCCTGCCTTCTCAACAGTCAGTTACTCAAAACAAGGATAGGGGTGGTTAATTTTCTGATTAATGAAATGCTTGGCATTTCCAAATGGTTCAACATCAGACATGGATATAGTTTTATCAGTGGAAGCAACATTAAAGAAGAAATGTCAACAAAGTTATTAAACATTATATGCTGGGCACTATATTAAGTGCTGGAGATAAAAAGAAAAGTAAAAACAGTTCCTTCCCTAATGGAGAGATTGTATATACACATATATGTATATACATATATGTATATATGTATAATGTGTATATATATATACATTTATATGAATATTAAAATAAATGAAACACTGGATCTCCTCCATCTTTCATAGGCTGGAAGGGCAGAGATAACTTACAGGCCTAATCCCCTTACTTACTGGCGTGGGAGCTTTGACTTACTCTGTTTCTGACCTGGGCTGGTTTGCCTCTCTTTAGTCAATATGGTGGTTCCCCACTCCCAAGATGAGGGCTTACCTTCTTAATGTTGAATCTATTTCTGACATCTGATTGTCTAAACCCACTGAAGCTAATAACTCCTGAGCTCAAGAGAGCCTCAAGCCTCCCTTGAGACTGGGATTATAGGCTTTCACCTCCTTGCCTGGCACATTTAATGGGACAGCCAATATGTATATAACATAGGAAATATATACAAAGTTGATGGAAGGTAATCTCAAAAGGGAAGGCACTAGCAGTTGGAGGGATTGGGGAAGGCTTCTTATAGAAAATAGAAACTGAGCTGAGTCTTCAAGAAAGCTAGGGAAACTAAAAGACAGAGGTGAAGGTGCAGAGCATTCCATGTCCGGGGGGGACAGACTATGCAAAGGCATATGGGAATGCAATAGGATTAGCAAGCAGATCAGTGTAGCTAGATTTTAGAGTTTATAGAAGGGAGTAAACTAAGACTAAAAAGGTAGCAAGAGGCCAGAATATGAAGAGCTTTAAATGTCAGAGGAATTTATATTTGATCTTGGCAGTGATATACAGAATCCCTCGAGCTCTGTGAGCAGGAGGGTTACATGGGCAAACTTGGGCTTTAAGAAAATCATCTTGACAGCTGAGCAGAAGATGGATTAGTGTGGAGAGAGACTTGAGATTGGGGCACTAATTAGAAGGCTGTTGCAATAGTCTAAGTAAGAAGTGATGAGGGCATGAACTAGGGTGGCGACTGTGTAAGTAGAGGTGACATAAAGATGATGTGAGGGTAGAAACGACAGATTTGACAGCTGATTGGATAAGTGGGGTGAGAGTAGGGGAGTAAGGATGACATCAAAGTTCTGGCCTTAGGTGACTAAGAAGATGGCAGTATCCACAGCAGTAATAGGTAAGTTTGGGAGAGAAGAGGACTGAGGGGTAACATATTGAGTTCTAGGGAATTTGACATGTCTAAAAGGCAGTTGGTAATAGATGACTTTAGCTCAGGTGAGAGGCTGGGGCTGGATATATAGGAATCATCTGCATAGAAAGGTTAAATGACCCCACAGGTCCTTGGTGTAATCACCCAATGAAATAGTATAAAATGAAAAGGGAATGAGGGCCAGGAAAGAGCCTCTGGGGACACCTACTGTCAGTACATATGACATGGATGAAGAACCAACATAGGAGAATTTAGTAATTAAACAGATAGGAAAACCAGGAGGGAGCAGTGCTACAAAAACCTGTAGATAAGAGAGTATCCAGGAGAAGGTGATTAATCATGTAAAATGCTACAGAGGTCTTAGTAAAGGCCATTAGACTTGGCAATTAAGAGATCACTAATAACTTTGAAGAGGGCATTTCAGTTCAGCAATGAGGTTGGAAGCCATATTATTGAGAGAGCAGGTGAATCCAGTTTGGGAAATAAATAGTATGTTAATTTGACCAGAGAGCATATGAGGAGTGATCTGAAGGCTAGAAAAGTAGTTTTTAAGTCAGGTAAGTCACCTATCTCCCGCGCAATGAGGATCCACTATAAGTCTCGGAGTGGGAGTCACGCCTAGATGTTAGGAAGATTATTTTGGCAGGTGTGGGAAAGATGAACTGAAATGGGGAAGAGAATATAGGTGAAGAAATAAGTTAGGGGACTATTCTTATAGTTCAGGTGAAAGATGATACAGCCCTGAACTGGCAATGTGGAGAGGAAAGGAGATGAATGAAACTGATAGAGGAAGACTTGAATGGGGTGAGAGGGTGAGGATGAAGAAAGACAACATTTCTATTCTTGGTGACTGATAAGATTATGGAAGTTGGGAGGAGATGCTAATTTAAGGGAAAATGATAAGTTCAGTTTTGGAAGGTCAAGCTTGAGGTCCCAACAGGATAATAAGTGGGAGATGTAAAGGGAAGAGATTGGGGCTGACATATAAAAAGTTAAGAGTCAGCCTGAGGCCATTTAGTCCACACAGACATCCTTCAATACAGACGTAGCCCGAGAGTGCTGCTGGATTGTGGGACAGGGTAATAATTGAGGTGAATAATAATATTGTGAATAACAATATGACCCTTAAGTCATTTAGTATCGTTACATATAGCAGACTGTCTTTAATAAGGCAGGTGTTAAATGAAGTCTTTAGAATGGAAAAATCACCATCCAGAAAGCGTGTTGAAAGAGGACAAAGCTTTGGAGGATGCTAGGCAAAGTTATGTAGGACCAGAGTGGTCAGACAGGTAGGAAAAAGCAGTCTTATGGTGATTACAGGAAGAGACACTGTTCAAGAGTCAGAAGTGTGAAATGGTACAGAAAAGCCCAAGAGGTCAAGCATTGACAAAAAGATCATCAAACCTTGCTAATAATGTCCTGTTGTGAAATTTTTCCTCTGTCCCTCATTCTCCAGGCTCTTACTTAGCCTGAGTTAGACTTACTGAGACCTTTTCATTTCCCAACCAACTGCACGCCTTTGGACTTCTCCCTTGCACCCCAGGAACCTCACCATTCTGGAAGATCCCATCAGCCCTGGCACTCAGTCCTGCCTTTGGGCCCCTCCCTCCCTTGTGTCTAGGCCAGCCATTTCTGCATTTCACACCTGGCTGCACTGCTTGAGATTTCTCCATTATGACCCCTCACCAGACATCTTCCCTTCCTATCCCCTTTTCCCTTTGTGTGTTGTCTTCTCCCGTTAGACTAAGCTTCTTGTGGACAAGGAATGTCTTTTTCATATTTGTAATCTGCAGCATTTAGCACATTGGTTGGGACATAGTTGGTGCTTAATAAATGTTTAATGACTGACTGGGGTGAAAGGAGAGGGTATAAGTGATAAGTCACATTCATGAATCATTGTTTTATTTTTCTCTAAACTTGGAAGGTGCCATCAGCAGGTAGAGTGGAAGACACCTCCCACTTTGACTCCTTGAGCAGCTAGAGCATTGTATTCTTTCACAGCCTGTTCTGTCTGGAGGACCAGGACATTTATCCCTTGTCTCTTAAGGTAGTCCACAGTAGATGCTGGCACCTGGGAAAGAGATAAACAAGATAGTAAAGCTTGAGCCTAAAGACCCAGCTACTGTTAATGGCCCCTTTCTCATTACCATTAGGAAACATAAGGGCATTACTCAACAACATTGATGACGGTAACATCTCATTCATGGGAACATCACTTATCTAGCAACTTTGACTATTTGGAATACAGCTGAAAACCCAGAAGGAAGTATAAAGGGTGTCTGAACAGCTAAAATAGATGTCATGAAGTCTATGCATCAAAACTCTCTTCATAAGAGGCCCCTGCTCCAAGCCTATATGTTTATTCTTATTTTAAAATTAATTCTAACATCGATTGTTAATCTCAGTTTCCAGTCTGCAGCAGATTAGAAGCTGTAAATCAGAGAGCACTATCAAGCTACACAAAAACACCCTGAGAACAATAAAAAGTGACAACTGATAACATGCCAGGGAGAGAAGAGCCAGAAAAGCTAAATGATATAAACAGCAGACACAGAAAAAAACAAAACATAACAAACAAAAACTAGAAAACCCTCAAATATCTAAATGTATCTTAGTACAGGGGCAGTCTCAGCTCTGAGAGTAGCAATATATTATCAAGCTGGAAAAAGATTAATGTCAACAATAATCCCAAGTCATCAGGAAGGGATTTGGTTCTATTCAATTTACTATATTTAATAAGACAGGGAACTGCGTTAACCATAAAGAAAGCTTCCATCCAGTGCTTCTATACATCTCTGCCTTCACTGGAAGGGGCAGTTCCTCCACAAATGTGCATCACAAATCTTAAATATTTTTGCAAATGGTCTTATAAATTACTGTGGCCAAAATGCAATTCTCCCTTTAGTGGCCAACTGCATGCATTTGGTTAGACTGGTCTTCTGACAACAGGCATGTGATATTTTATCTTCAGGACTTTCAGGCTGGCAGGACCTGCCAGATGGTGTGCTCCACTGGTTTAGGCTCTGGCTGTGAAGAACATGCTGGAGAACATCAAAAATAGTTACAATTTAAAAATTAAAGGGGCTAAACTTCAGTTTTCTAGAAATTTCGCTTGTGTGAGAAAATAAGCTCAGATCTTATATTCGGTTCTCATTGAGCCAATGTATGAAAAAATGAGTCACAATCAATAGTTTTTTATTTGTCTTTTGCCTGTGGCTTGCACTGGGTGACTCACTAGATATATTTATGGTATAAAAGATGAACAGCACAGCATGGAAAAGAGCACTGATGTGTAAAAAGGCTAGTTATTGATCTGAAACTTCCCAGCTATGTGACTGTGGACAGGTCACTTAACTTCTCTAAGCCTCAGTTTTCTCATCAGTAAAATGGGGATGAAAACACTTACCAATTACTTTTTTAGTGAGAAAAAAAGTGCTATAGAAATGGGAGCCATTTCCTACTGTTGGACAACTGGGATAATAGTTGCCTCAATGTTCCTTTTAATAGTGTTTTGAAGATTATTTAAAAAGAGAAACTGGGTGTAACTTCTTTATAGATGTGAATTTTCTCCCCTGCTTCCTCCACTCTTCCTGGCTATGCCTTTCTGGGGAAGGTTTCGAGTGAAGCATTACAAGTACCTGTACAAAAAGTTCTATGAGAGTGCTTATAGCCAAGTAATGTGCATATATATGCCAATTTTATTTATATATATATATATATATATATATATATATATATACACACACATACACACACACACACATATATATACATACACATATATATATATAGTGTGTGTGTGTATATATATATATATATAGTATATATAGCCAAGTAATGTGCACACACACACACACACACACACACACACACACACACACACACAAGCCAATTATATATAGCCAAGAAAGTGCTTATAGCCAAGGTTGTTCAGGAATACCGCCACTAGACCCTTCCTGGAAGAAAAGAAATCAAAGACCCAGAGATGGAATAGTACAATGGAAGGGAGAGGATACAGGCACTGGGCCTTTTTCTGATACCCTGTGCACCTAACGCAAGTCCTGTATTAGTTCAGGAGCCCTGAGATAGAGAATTCACAAAGCTACATACTCCACAGTAATAGAAAACAAGGGGGGAAAAGTAGGGTCCTGGAGATGCCTGCCATGAGGCACGTCACCATGTCCGATACACACCTTCAATGCTTCACTCATTCCACGGCCAATTACCAGGGTTTGGACCCCCTTCTTGGCTACTTCCTCCACATCTGCAGGCTGCACACCTGGGGAATGCTGGATATGGAAACAAAAAGTTTACTATGTGCCTGGGACACTGGTTTCTTTATCCTTCCTTTGCAAATGGGAGTCTTCATGGCATGTTATAAGAATCTCCTTGTCTAAAGGACCTTAAAAAACAGATCAGTTTTCACCTGACAGGGACAATGTAGTCCTGCCTAAAGACAGGCAGATGAGGAAGATAACTTCTTAAAATTATCCTCCTACCCTATGATTCTATGAAATACTTGTCTTCCCTTATGTCATGTAAATTACATTTTGTCTTTCAGGAGTCTTTTTTTTTTTAAAAAACTGGTAGAGAATTTTAAATCATGGTAAGAACATGGTTAAGTGTAAAATTTACACTTGAGGAAAAATAATTCAAATACTTAGAGGCTGATGGATTCTGAACTACCAGGGAAAGAGAATGTAACAGAATACGACTGTACCTTGAGATTAACTGTATTGAATTTCACAGTTGTAAGGGATCTGAAGAAACCCTTACCTGATATATGAATACCTTCTACAACAGTCTCAAGAAGTGGTCTTTCAGCCTCTTCCTGAATACTAGAAATGATGAAAAACCCATTTCTTCATTATTAAACTCATGCTATGTTTGGACAATCCTAAATGTTACAAAGTTCTTTTAGTTCACTGAGCTAAACAGTGCCTCTCTGAACCTTCTATGCATTCTTCTAAGTTCTAGATTCTGGAGTTACATGGAAAAAGTCCAAACCCTTTAGGCCTCATTTAACATTTAAAAAAAAATTTATTTTTACTCATCTAACAATGTTAACTACTCCTTCTAAGACACTCTCTCCTGCCTGGGTTTTGGTGACATTTGTCTCTCTTGGTTCTTCTCAAGCTTCTTCCTGGATCATCATCCATGTCCTGCTTCTTTCTACATGGGTATGTCTTAAGGTTCTGTCATGGTCTTATTTTCTTCTATGTTGTGTCTTGGAGATTTCGTGAGATCCCATGAGCTCAATGGTATGCTCTATGTAGATAACTCCAGGATCTATGTATGCCTCAATATTTCTCCCAAGTTCTGATCAGATCATAACTGCCAGATGGGCATCTCCACCTGGATATCCCATAGGTATCTCAAACTCATGTCTTAAAACAGAATTCTTTATCATTCTCCACTAAACCCTCTTTCCCCCCAACTCCCTATTTTTGTTGAGGGTACCACCAATGTTTTAGTAAGATTCACAACCCTAGAGCCATCCCCAACTCTTCTCTCATATACCCTAACCAATGGAGGTTAATAACTCCTCAACGTCTCTCATCCTCATCTCCATATCTTTACTCATACTGTCATCCCTCCTCACTTCCCCTCTCCAAATTTATATTCCTAAAGCACTGGTGGCTCCTTACTGCCCTTAGAATAATGTACAAACACCTGTATTTGGCATTTAGAGCACATTCACAATCTTATTTTAATCCATCTTCACAGGCTTATTTCACATTCTTTCTCTTCACAATCCATACTCTAGCTAACCTGCCCTTCTTGCTGCTCCTGTAGACAACATTCTACCTCTGGCCACATGCTTCTACACAGGCTGACCCCAATCCTATAATGATTCTCCTTCTGCCTGCTGGAACCCCTGGCTCTTTAAAAAAAATAAAATTTTTTTCAATTAAAAAAAAAATACGACTTTATCTTACCACCCCTCCCTATAGGAAAGAAAATAGGAAAACAAAACCCTTGTTAACACACATGCATATACAAGCAAAACAAATTCTTGCACTATGTAAGAAAATGATGTCTCATTCTGAACCCTGAGTCCATAACCTCTCTGTCAGGAGGTGGGCAGTAGGTTTCATCACTGGTCTGCTACAATTGTGGTTGGTCACTGCATTCACCACTGTTCTTATGTCTTTCAAAGTTGTTAGTCTTCACAATGCTATCTATACAGTACAAATTGTTTCCTTGGTCCTGATCATTTCCTTTTTCATCAGTTCATATATGCTTTTGCAGGGTTCTCTGAAACTATTTCCTTCATCATTTCTTTTTTTTGTTTCTTTGTTTTTTTTTGTGAGGCAACTGGGGTTAAGTGACTTGGCCAAAGTCACACAGCTAGTGAGTGTTATGTGTCTGAGGCCGGATTTGAACTCAGGTTCGCCTGAATCCAGAGCCAGTGCTCTATCCACTGCACCACTTAGCTGCCCCTCCTTCATCATCTCTTAACAACAGTATTCCATTCATGTATAACAAACTGGGGTATGAAGAAATATATGTACTCGGTCACTCCACAAGTGATCAGCACCTCCTTAGTTTCCAGTTCTTTGTCACCACACAGAGCTACTATAAATATTTTGTACATATGGTCCTTTTGCTCTTTCCATCTCTCTTCAAGGTTCAATTCCACTTCATCTCCTACACTTTTTCTTCCATCCTCTGCTCTTAGTGTCTCCTCCCTAAAATTACTTTACATATATTTTCTATTTACTTTTCTGTGTACACGTTGCTTGCTTCTTCCATACTCTCCAGTAGCATGGAAGCTTCTTGAGGAAAGGGACTGTTTTTTGTTTTTGTTTCTCAAATGCCTAACACAGTTCTTGGCACACAGTAAGCCCTTAATACGCTGGAGAAGGAAATGGCAAACCACTCCAGTTTCTTTGCCAAGAAAACCACCATATGGGGTCATGAAGAACTGGACACGACTGAACAACAAAAAACGACTCAATGAAGGCTACTTGAAACAGGGTTATAGTTTGCCTGATACTTTTGTCTTTACAAGAACTTAATTCTCCCTAACAAACCCAAAGAACAGGCAACAACAACAAACAAAAACAGCCAAACTCCATAAACTATTATACAAAGCAACATAAAAAGTGGTTACAAATGGTTGTTTATGGAACTGTATCCCTATTATTTACCAGATGCTAAACGAAATAATGGTTATGTATATTAATTTTAATAAAGGTAAACCCAAAATTGCCCATTATATTTACTCAGTGTTTCTGTTTATTAATTTTTTATGTAGTTGAAGTGTGAAAACTGCTTGACAGTTTGATTTATTATATGTCGTTCATACAGCTAGTAAGTGTTCGAGGCTTGCCTGAAAGAACTTAAACAAAAATCTTTTTATATAATTAGCAATGATGCCTTTCAATAAAGGCCATACATTGTTGATCCTGAGTTCTTAAAGATTCTATCAATACAGTACAAGCTCTGGCAGGTCAGACTGGAAAAACTTTGAATTATCAGTCCACAGTAATGGACTGTGTTTCTGTTGTCCAAGGACAAATTTAGCTTAAGAGGCTGGCTATTAGGGAAGTATTTTCTTTCTTGACTACAGCAATTCATGAAACTGTCTACTATTGAGCGTTTGTGACCTCTATCAGTGAAGGTTATACTCTAATCAATGATGTCCTCTTCCCTTCCCATCCCCCAATAGATGTTTTAATGTAATGAAAAAGCTAGCATATATAACATTAATAGAACCAGTAAGGCTTAACCATCTGCCTGCTGGGACCACTATGTAGCCTCCAGACAAATGGAATTCTGATCACGTGGCCCACTACTAAAAATTCAAGCCACCTCTAATTCCAATCAAGTAGACCATGTTAGCTGCTTGGGTATAACTCTGTGAAGAAAAGGGGTAGGTAGCCATGGACCCATGACAACATCAGAGATCAATCAGCTAACTCAGTAAGTGAAAATGCAAGAACAGGAAGAACACAGGTCAGCAGTCTGGGATTTGCTCAGTGAACATGCCCAGCCTTTATAGCTTCAGGGAATTGACTGAAAGCATCTTCTAAAAGAAAGCATCAGAGTTTTAGTAATGCAGATCTCTGAAATAGGTCTAATTATTCTAAGAGAGCCAGAACATACTGTATTATCATTTGGATGTTTATCATGGAGGCAGAGCTCCCTGAGATTTTTCCCAATAAGATTCAGACCTCAAAGTGTTGGTTCTTTCTGGGAGAGTGCAGATGCCTTGGAGACATTCCAGTGGTCTTTTGTCTGTCAGTGGATAGCTGGAATAGGTAGATGACATACCTGGGGATTAATGAGATAATTTGTTTTTGATGGGTTACAAGTCTAGGCTTTGTTGGCTCAGCTTGTGCCTATGAAAGGCATTCTCTATTATAATTAGGATTCATTAGCAAAGCAAGGATGCAGTTAGCTGGTTGTAAGCTCCTTGAGGGCAGGATCTATCTTATACCTACCTCTTTGGATCCTCTTAAGTGCTTAGCACTGAGCCTACTGAGTAGACTCAACAAATTTTATTGAAACTGTTATTGGCAATGATGATGACCACTTGTAGTCTCATGTTCTATGATTCCATGAAGATAGGCAATTCCTTGTCCAATTCAAAGGAAGCCCCTTTATCCCAATTGATAAATGGGCAAAGGATATGAACAGGCAGTTTTCAGACAAAGAAATTAAAGCTATCTAGAGTCATGTGAAAAAATGCTCTAAACTACTACTGATTAGAGAAATGCAAATTAAAACAAGTCTGAGGTACCACATCACACCTATAAGATTGGCTAATATGACAAAAAAAGAAAATGATAAATGTAGAAGATGTGGGAAAATTGGAATTTATTAAAGAACTTTCGGTAGAGTTGTGAACTGATCCAACCATTCAGGAGAGCAATATGAAACTATACCCAAAGGGCCATCAAACTGTGCATACCCTTTGATCTAGCAATACCACTACTAGGTCTGTATCCCAAAAAGAGCATAAAAAAGGGAAAAGGACCCACAAGTACAAAAATATTTATAGCAGCTTTTTGTGGTGGCCAAGAATTGGAAATTGAGGGAAAGCCCATCAATTGAGGAAGGGCTGAACAAATTGTGGCATATGAATGTAATGAAATACTATTGTTCTATAAGAAATGATGAGCAGGCAGATTTCAGAAAAACCTGGGAAGACTTATACGAACTGATGCTGAGTGAAGTGAGCAGAACCTGGAGAACGTTGTACACAGTCACAACAACATTGTGCGGTGATCAACTATGATAGACTTAGCTCTTCTCAGCAATACAATGATCTAAGACAATT